TCAAGTTGATCTGTGGACGTTTCTATAAGACATTTTCTTGATGCATGAAGGAGAGCCCAGTACGCTATGAGTGGTACTATTTCCTGGGCCGGTTTATCCTGGGTTGTATAAGAAAGATAGCTAAGCATAAGCCTTTGAGTGATCCAGTTAGCAAGTCCGACTGTGACCTGGAAGTATAAGTCAAATGAACCCTTCCCCCTCCTACATTCTTTTGGTAAGCGTGTTTTTACAACATCAACAGATAGGAAAGTAGAGCATATACATATATACATTCTTATTGAATATCTGCCCTGCATACTGCCAACTGTTTGTTGTAAATGAGAGCAATATCAGCCAGGTGAATGTTCTCTGTGATAGCAAACAAGCCCCAAATGAGTCATGGCTCAAGCCTAGTAGGCATTGTTCTTTCTCACATGAAGTACACGAAAACATTTTTGGCCGTGGAGTGCTTCTTTTCCAGCTGTTGGCCTCTGTTCGGTTGGGCTCCATTTCCAACAACAGGCTGTTGTGTTTGGATTGGCTGCATTAAGTCAGTGGAAGGGGAAAAACACACAGAGAACCATTTAGGAGAGGTTTGTGAACCAGAGAAGGAAGGCAAGCATCTCTTGCTCATATTCCATGAGGTAAAAAACTACATGCCACGTTGCTGGTTCTACTTGCAAAGGGAAATGGGAATTGAAGTCCACCTGAGTGCCTAGAAAGAAGAGTGTTTAGATTCTGTGATACCTGGTCAATCCCTTCCTGAAAGATGTAACAGAAATGTAGGGCTAGATCTTCATTCTTATGCAACTGATCTTCTGGGGATAATAGAACCTAGGACGGGAAGTGTTACAGGATTTGTTCAGGTCTAGTAATGGTGTACAACAGATAACATGTCAGAGTAAGAGGACAGAGTGATCCATCTGAATGGGAATTCATCTGTGTCTAGGATGGATAACCTTTAGATGGGGTTGTTTGCAGTGCAGTCCTGAATAATGTGTAGCGAGAACAGGAAAAGGATGCCACAGAATGGTGGGAAGTGAAATCATCAACTCAGATGGGAGAGGACGTGCTTCTGACATAGTGGGGCCAGGAGGGTGGGACTGTCCTGATCAAAGAAGTTTGAGTCAAAGGTTCTTCCAGCTCTGTTCTAGAGATTTGGAGATGTGAGTTTGGGAGTCTCTATTCTAATGCCAAGTGGAATCTTGGTTACTAAGATAAGGTAACAGATGCTGTGATTAAAAAAAAAAAGAAAAGAAAATCTTTCTGGCACACAGTTCCAGGATATAGTCCATTATGGTCAGGGAGTCAACACAGCAGGAGTATGTGTGTCTGTATCTGGTTTTTGTGTCTGTGTTTATCTGTCAGTTGGTCTTTCTGTCTGTCTGTGTATATGTGTGTTTGTGAGTGTAGCTTTGCCACCCTTTATATCTAAAACAAAATGCATCTAGGAACTTTCTAGGTTAAAGATTTGAGGTTTAAATGGATCACATAAGAGAGTGCATCCAGAGGGACACTCAGTGAGCTGTGATGGAGAATTTACATCTAATTAGGTAAACTCTAATTAGGGTTGTGTCATCCTGGCTTCCTCTCTTTGACAGTGGCCTTGGTTAAATGTTCCATGATGGTTGTGGAGGTGGCCCAGTGCAAAAAGTACTCAATTTGCAAGCATTGAGGACTTGAGTTTGAATTCCCAGAAACCGAGTAAAGCTGGGCACATCTGTATTCTCAGCCCTTCAACAGGGAGGTGAGAGGCAGAGATAGTAGGATGTGTGGGTCTGGTGTGGGCTGAAAAGAACAAGAAGCCCTGTCCCAAGCAAAATGGAAGGAGAAGGCTAGGTTGTGCAGCTATTCTGAGATTGTCACATGTGCATTGGAGCAAATTTGTTTCTGCATTCTCTCTCTCTCTCTCTCTCTCTCTCTCTCTCTCTCCTCTCTCCTCTCTCCTCTCTCCTCTCTCCTCTCTCTTCTCCTCTCTCCTCTCTCCTCTTTCCTCTCTCATAATGGGCTATACCCAGGAACTGTGCACAAAATGAAACAAAACTTTCTTGCTTAAGTTCCTTTTGCCAGTATATTCTGTTGAAGCAACAGAAAGAGAAATAAGACAGGTCCCTATTTCAAGGGAATAAATTGATCAGTTGGATAAAAACCAATGGCACAATGCATCACTGAAGAGGGTAGACTTTGACACACACATACTCATGCACGATGTGCAAGGGTGACATCATATATCTGAGAAGAGCACAGCCATGAACTGAATGAGAAGTCAGATATCTAATCTTCCCTCAAATCACATGATCTACCACTCAAAAATCACCATTTCTTTTGTTTAATGTCCTTTCCCATAACCACTTCTGCTGTTTGCATATTGATAAATGTATCCTTAGGTCTTAAAAAATATAATTAGTTTGGCACTCTCTCAATCTCTTAAACCTATATACGAATGGAGAAAATATAAGAACATCGTTTTCTTTCTGAACTGTAATGAGTGTTAATTGGGTACTCATTGAATATAATACACTATGACAGGTTCTGATTAGTTAACAATAAGGATGATTCTAATATTACCCACAAGAATCTTAGATTCCAGAGAGAACTTGAGAAAGGAATTATAAAAATCAAGCAGAAGCAATATCATTGTGCTAGTTACCTATTGGAGTCTGGAAATCTTTGGATTTTCTTAGCAGCGGGGAGCAAGTTTTGAAAGTACCTTTATAGATACATACAGAGAAAGAGGATACAGGTGTGAGACAAACAAGTCAATAGGAAATTGAAACTGTTGATAAGGACAACTGGTCTACCCTGAACAGGGGGAAAAATATCATTACCATTGTATTAAGATGAGGTCTAGCCCTGCTACAGTATACATTGTTCAAAGGTGTCCTTCACAGATTTATTGAGTGACTAGCTAACCAAGTATACAGGATTCTTATTAAAGTTTACTCTAATAATATAAACAGATGGATGAAAGTCACTTTAATGGAACTTACATTTCCTATGACAACATAATCAATTTGCTGGGAAAAAATAACCTATAAAACCAGTCCTGCAATCTCAAGTGATCCTAGCATTCTTTAGTGGAAGAGAATCTAAGACATATATAAAATCTATTTCTTTGGTCTACAAGAGCTAGTTCCAGGACAGGCTCCAAAGCCACAGAGAAACCCTGTCTCAAAAAAAAAAAATCTATTTCTTTCTCTGTCCTCCCCCATGTGTGAGAGGTGTTGTGATTTATGTGTTGGGGGAAAACATGCATTCCACAACTTGCATGTGGAGGTCAGAGGATGATCTCAGGTGTTGGTCCTCACCTCCCACCTTATTTGAGGCATGGTCTCTTACTGTTCACCACTGGGTATACCAGGCTAGGCATCCATGAAAGATTCTCCTCTCTCCATCTCTCATCTAACCAGAGAATTACAGAATTACAAATGCTTGTGCTGCCATGTTCAGATGAAGTGGGTTCTGGGGATCCAATCTCAGGACTTCACACTTTTGCTTCAAGCCTTTCTGAGCTATCTCCCCAGGCTTTGGATCAGCTTCTGTGTGCAACAAGTCCACTCTATGATACAAAGGACGTTTTGACCCATTATTTATTAACTTGATTAGAACTTTTTGATGTCTAAAATCACAAAAGTTGTAACTAAGACAAACCAGGATAGAGATCATTTTTAAAATGCCACCAGCCTGGCAGAAACATGACACATAAATCATAGGTTTTATTGTATTTACAATTAAACAAATCAACTTTAGTGTCTACTTGGAAGCCTTAGCAATTAGTATAAAGATTAATATAGTGAAACATCTCTGCTGTAGCGGGTCTCCCAAACAAAACTGATATAAAGAATTCACTATATAATTTAATAGCATGTAAGTATTAATGCACAAAATCTTCTGAGTCCCCAGGTCCCTGATGTAATTATTTTCTATTCACATTAATTGTTCCAAGCAGATGACGCTAATGACTTTCAGCTATAAAATGTGTCCAAAGGAAGATTTCCTATGATCAGTGCTATTTAAATATAAGGTCACTTTTATAATTATTCACTTAGATTTTAAGCCATGCCTGAACATAGCAAAATTAACCTTGTGACTATTTTTACTTTTTTAGTGAAACTATCAAAGCTTAGTTTTCACACTAGCCAGCCAGCGTATAGGGTATAGATGATTTTCCTACTACTTACCAATATTCCACCTACTACGTCTGTGGTGTATGTCTGGGTATGTGTGAAAGTCAGGCATCATCCTTGCGGGAAACCTGCTACAGAAGCAGAAGAGATGTTTTTGGAAACAGCGTCTCTGGCCGGACTGGAAATATCCAAGTAAGCTAGGCTGGCTGGCCAGTGAGGCCCTGTGTTCCTCCTGGCTCTGTCGTCCCAGCTCTGTGTGTTTGTAAGCGCACACCACCATGACTGTCTTTAATCAAAAATTTTATTTTTTTGAGTTTATAATATAATTGCATCATCTTCCCCTTTCCTTTCCTTCCTACAGACTCTGCCTTATTCCCCTCCTTGCTCTCTTTCAAATATTGGATACATTTTTCATTGTTACTATATACATACACACACACATATTCCTAGATATAGCAAAACAACCTGCTCAGGCTGTATAATGTCACTTTATATGTTTTTAGAACTGACCATTTAGTATTGGCTAATCAATTGGTGTGCTCTTCCCTGGGGAAGAAAGACTATTTTATATGAGTCCTGGAGATCAAACTCAGGATTTCATGTTAGCACTGTAGTATTTTACAAACTGAGCCATCTCTCCAACCTGCCACATTTTTTTATTTTTCTTCTATGTAGTTTGATAGGCAGACTGGCAGACTGTAATATCGTGATTGTTGTCTATAAAAATGTAACCTGTAAATATGAACACACATAGAGAACTCTGATGATGCGTTCAGACATGATTTCTCCTAATGGGAAATATCAAACTCTTAGAAATCTTTCTATCCAAAATCAGATTTTGAAATGAATAACTAAAGCAATGCTACCCAACATCTCTGCTTGGTTTCACCCTAGAAAATTCCCTCGCGTGTCATAGACCTCTCATCTGGAGATTTACTCTCAGAGGCAGGACGGAGTAGTTCGACATCACCACGGACAGATATTGAGCTGCATGTGAGGTTCCCAGTTGTATTCATGGAGTGTTGTTTAGGTCGTTTTTTTCCTCCGAGCAACACTGATGTCACAAACAAACCACAAGATGCACCTCTGAAGCATCCTCAGGCAGATAGCAACACCTTTCTTTCTTGTGTTCTCTGAAATTCAATAACGTGTTCCCCAGCTGATAGAATAAGCAGAAACTGTCACTCTCTGAAGAAGTGTCGTAAATCTTGGCTTTGTCCCCAAGATAGCGTTTTGGGCATTGGTTACATATCAAAGTCTCTGAGTAATGGGCAAGGGGCTTTTTATTCAAGCCCATGTCTCAAATTATCTCACTCACTCTTATGATATATTATTATAAACTTTTAAAAATGCATGGACTCTGCACTTTCCCCCCTGTAGTTGGGGTTAGCTTTGTGCTTGTTTGGTAAAATTTGAACCAGCATGGCTTTCAACTCTCATTGACCTAAAAAGATACAATTGAAAAAAAACACAACAGCCATACACACACATACTGAAAAATATTAGGCTTTAAAAATGACTTGAATAGTCATGGATAACTGAACTTTTTGCCATATAACTTTATCCGTTGCAGATAATATGTTCTGTATCCAATATAAATATCCTCAAGTTAAAATACTATCACTTTCTATATCTGCAAAGACTTCACAGCCCCTGACCTGTACTGGGACCTTAAGATTATGAATCTTGAAAATGTATAGCTTTTTATTAAAGAAACTCCTGGCTTTGGTCTCTTTGTTTCTGTTTATCATATAACTGAAACTGTAGCTTTTATATTGCAAGTGTCATAGTAAGAATATCAAAGAATGTGAACCATTCAAGTTGGTTAATCCAGAACAGAATGAGAAAGAGATTTGTAGCGGAGCAAACCATGCATTTTACCAGGTAAATGGATGTCCATAAGATAATGTTAGAAATGAAACTCATATGCCCTTTCCACAAAGGTGGCATTTAATAATTACCATCATGTGTTTCCATTGATAGCTGGGCTCAGTGGAACATGTGGTGTTCTGTGGATTCCTTGGGTTTTGGCTCCCTAAGTTGGCCCTATTGGACACTGTAACATTATGTCTAAGATTTGGACTTGGAGTCTTACTTACTTGCAAAATATCTGATGAGAGCAACTTGTGTGTGTATGTGTGTGTGGTGTGTGTTTGTGTGCGCACACATGCACACACTCACATGCATGCATTCATAATAGTAACAAAACCTAGAACTTCTCAAGTCAAGTCCACATATACCTGTTTAGCCTTCACAATTACCTGGTGTAGCAGGTGTCTCAGTTACCTTCACTGACCAAAAAGAACACTGGAACACAGAGGTGTTAAAGTAACTTTCTTCCCAAGTTCAAAGAGCTAGGATATCAAAGAGATTTGAATCACACCTCAGAAATGGCCTTGAAAGTCAAGTGCTATAGAACAGCGATAAGCTGTAGAACAGTTAATAGAACAGCTATTAACCAGAGTAGACAAAGGCCGGCTCATAACAGCAAATGTCAGAGTGAAGCTAACTTTACAGCCATGGCGATAGAATTCTCTTCTACATGCCTTTTAAATTAAGCCATCAGTGGCAACAGTGGGTCAAGGATGGAGTTTCCCAAATGGAGGATTAGCTCTACCATCTCTTTATAGAGAATTCCTCTCTAACCAGCTACACATATGTTTGGTTCCCTCTCCAACTCATAGTGCTAGAGATGCAAATGGGTTCATAGAAATGAAGCTGAGGCAGAATTACCTTGCAGAACTCTGTTAGGAGAGGCGTAGGCTCACAGCTGAGCCCCCAAGTCGGAGAATAATAGAGAAGTTGGTCAGGGTGTGCATCTTGCTAGGACCCTGAAGAAGGAGAACCTTCACTCCCTTCAGTTTCCAGAATACTTATAGAGTTCTGGCATCATAGCATAGACAGTATATGTACTTTGGAGGGGAGAGAGCCTTCAATTCTATAAGACAAAAGGGATGTCCAGTTCTTATTGACTTCATTGCATGTATCAGAAGTCCTATTATGGAACTGCTAGATCAGAGCCTTCAGATGATCAAGGTTCCCATTTGATTTGTGTGCACGTGAGCATGTATTACTACACCTGTCTGCTTAATCTCTTCCATTACTGCCAGCGTCATATGATGTGGCCGACTTTGCGCACCTCCCTTATAATGTTATACAGTATCTCTCTTGTGACTCAAGATCAACTCCAAGGGAGAGCTGGCAGTTTTTCCTCCAGTCTACCCATCTTCTCCATTCTTGTTTCCTATCAATTAATTCATCCTCTAAAGGACATATGTGCTTAGATAATGCCCAAGCAGGAAGGCTTCTTTTTTCTCAGGCTTAGGCGTTGACTTGAGTTGTGCAAACAGGTATAGTTTTGCTAGACAGAGTGGGTAGGGATAGGTGGGGGAGACAGGAAAGCACAACCTAACTGCTGTACCCTGGGAGAAAGAAGAACAAAAAGCCACCAGAACCCGTACAGAGCATGGAAAGCCTTGGAGGCGTCTACCTCTCAGGCACCTGACGATATGCAGACTCAGTTGCTCTGTGGAGAGTAGGTGAATCTATTGGAGTAAAGGCAGTTATAATTAACAACTGTGGCCATATAAAGCTCATAATAAAGCATGAAAGACTCGGCTAGAGGCCTGGGAAAATACTGAAGTAAAAGTGGAAGCTAATATGATATTTCTGGAACTTTACATAGGATGAATTTTACATGTCCATACTAACAGAGGCATTGGTATCAGGTTATCCTGCAGAATGGAGCCAGTGAGGGCTAAGGATGTAGTTCATTTGGTAGAGGGCTTCCCTAGCATGTGCAAAGCCCTGGGTTCCATTTCCAGCACCATACACACTGAGCATGGTGGTGCATGACTTTGAGCCCAGCGCTCACAGACTAGAGGCAGGAGGATCAGAAGTGCAGACACATCATTGATGTTGTAGTTTGAATGTGAAACACGTGCCCACCCCCCCAAAAAAAGTTTGTATGTTTCAACAATTGGTCCCCAGCCCATGGTACTGTTAGACGTTGGGGGACACTTAGGAGGTGGAATCTCACTGGAGGAAGTCGGTCACTAGTGGTGTATCTTTATGTTTCATGGCCTACACGTCACTCACCTCCATTCTCTGCTTCTTAAGTATGGAGGTAACATGACCAGCCAGCCTTTTGTTTCCTCCACCGAGTCTTTGCTGCCATGATGGACTGCATCCCTCTGTAACACCAGCCAAAGTAAATTCTTTACCCTCCAGGTCACTTTTGTTAGAGAATTTTGTCACAACAAGAAAGGTAATTGAGAAACTTGGCCACATAGTGAGCTCAAGGCCAGCCTAGACTATATACAGCTCTGTCTGGGGAAAAAAGAAGAAAAGAAGAAATGAATAGAGCTGTTGGCTGACTATAGATATCTGTTAAGAAACAAATAGACTTCCCTTAACTAAATTATATGTAACAATGTATAAGGGCATCATTGGTAGATGATGCTGAACCCTGCATCTTGAGAAGTTTCTCCTATCATGACACTTAGTCCCAAATTTCAGTGGGGAGAAATAAGGATATTAAAATTTCTTGGCATTTTCTTAAAAGATCACTTAAAGAGACCATTATGCAGCAAGAATAAAGTATCTATAGCAAGGCAGATGAAATGATTGAGTGTTATAGTTATTGATTAGCTAGCAAATAAAATGTGGCCTCTGTACTCTGTGAGGTTTTAAGGTTTGCTACATGTACTCTCCCACCATGGCTGCCTGCCGTTCCCTGGCTGGGGCAATTCTCACCCTCATTTAGAATTGCATTTGCAGTACAGTGATAAGTACTCAGGTACTAATGGCACCCATATAGTGTCAATAAATTGAATAAGTAAGAGGCTTCACACCTCGGCAAGTGACACAAAAACAGATGGCTCCCTACTGGAGACAAGGCTTTCTAAAGATATGGCCGGAAGTAGACAGTCAGAGAGAGCTCCTGTTCTCCATCAAGATGCTGAATTCATTTCGCCTGTCCAGTCTGCAGAGTTCCCTCCATTCCAACTGCAAAGTGGCCGTCGAGGTGTGCATGGGTGTTCACCACGCTAGCTGTTGCCTGTGCTTTATGTAGGCCCCAAGAATTCTAACCACCGGGGCCTTCTGCATGAGTTCCTGGGCTGCGAGCTGTGGGGGGTTTTTATTACTCACGCAGCCCACCAGACATGAAAAGTCTGTGGCGAGTTACAGTGGAGATTGGTGTCTTCTGAGCATTGTGCCTGCGGTGCGTGGTATCATACAAGGCTGCACAGAGAGATTGCAGCTGCATGATAGCTGACTTGGAATAATCTCCCAGTCAGAGGGGAACCAATGGTAGAGCTGCCCACTCTACAAATGAAGCCATTGAGAGAAATAAGCTCAAGACAGCAAATGTTGTAGCAGTGTATATAACCTGATCTGGACCATTAAGTAAAGCCTAATGCTGATGCTCTTGAAACCTATAACCAAGGATGTGTCTTCTTCTATCTGGCACACTTGGGGTGTATTATTGTTGCTTTGTTTTGCTCTGTGATGCTGGCTGGAGATTGAACCCTGGACCTCATATATGCCAGTAAAACATTCTCCTACCAGCTATACTCCCTGCCCCCAGTCTTGATTTGATATTGATTTGATCTCTTACAGTATGGTTGGATAAAACGAGAACCTAGTGTTGTGATAACGATGCTCGTTTGAAATAAGTCCAGCACCTTCTGTAAATCAGATACTAACTATGTGCTTCGTGTCTAGAACCTCATATCACACGTGGTAACCATAGACGCTCATCCTACCCTTGTGCTGATCATTTATGCTTGCCTATCCATACTGTTACGATTCATTTTAAAAAGAGGAACGTGGCTAGCAAAGCTAAACAGTCTCCCTGGAGCCACACAGGAAGAAGCAGAGCCAAGGGGTGGAGGTGGGGGATGGCTCAGTGGGTAAAGTGCTTGCCTTGCAAACCTGAGGACCTGAATTTGATTCCTAAAACTCACATTAAAAAAATAGAAACAAATAACCATAAAAAACAAAGCATCGTGGTGCCTGCTTGTGACCTCAGTGGTGGGGAGACATTTACCAGACAGCCTGGTCTACTTGGTGAGGTCTAGACCAGTGAGAGACTTCTTAAACAAACACCCAAGGAATGACACCCCGAGATTGTCCTTTGGTCTTCACATGCTTGTGCAAACACATACTTACATAGCCCTCCCCATGTAGGCCCCCCAAACAAGCATGCATGTGTGTGCACACACACACATAGCAGAACCAAGAGCTAAGCCTAAGGTCGGCTTGGCTCCCAAGCCTGAACTTCTAGCCACTTACTCTAAGTTCCTTAGGTATTTCCTTCTTCTTAAGCCAAGATTTTGCTCAGCCCTGTCCTGCTTTTACAGGAACACCTCCAGAATGCAAAATCAGGAACCCCTGCCTTGCGACACTCGGGCTCGGGGGTCGTCATCCCTGACCACCTCTGTCCTGGGAACAGCTGTAGCAGCAGTGAACTCTCTCTATCCAGCACCTGCAGCGAGTTCTCCAGTGACTCCTCCTACAAGTGGCCTGACAGGAAGCTCCTTGGGAAAAGGGTAAGGCTTCTGTCAAGCAAGTCAGCTTCACAGAGAACAGGAAGAGAATCCTGTGCTAGCTGGAACTTGGTCGTGGAGGCAGAAGGGGCACTGGGAAGGAAATGACGATTTGCTGAATGTTTCCCCACGGACCATGGAGACTGCCACTCATCAGTGCTGTGGGCTCAGGAAACACAAAGCGGGTTGGCCGTACATCAGAGAATTGCAGAACAGACAGACAAAGTACAGGGGCAGGACATAGGGAGCAAGGTTTTGGTGAAAGGGGGATCCTCTTCCTACTCACATGCCAGGAATGTCTTCCCTGGTTCTTCTTTTATTTTATTACTCTATTTTATTTTATGTGTGTGCTTGTTTGTGTGCATGTAAGCACAAACATCTATGTATTGGTACCAATGGAACCTAAAAGTCAGCCTTTGCTAGCTGAGGAATCAGGGTGGTTCATGTTGTTGTTTGAGACACTTTGTCTCTGGCATGCAAATTGAACTTATCAATTTGTCTACTCTGCCCGGCCGGTGAGCCCCAGGGTTCCACCTGCCTCTGCCTCTTCAGGACTGAAATTGCACCCCCAGATTTTTTTGTTGTGGTTCTGGGGATCCTTGTTCTCATCATTATATGACAAGCACTTTACCATCCAAGTAAAGCACTTTACCATCCCTAGCCCTTTACCGGGATGTGAGGCAGTCGCTCCTGCAAGAGCACCTCCCATCTGCAGGGAGCTCACAGGGCTGCAGGAACCTCCGAGCCAGCTCCCTTGCATATTGGAACAAGCCAAGTCTTTCAAAATAGCTATTTTAGCAGCTCCTCAACTTAAAGGAAAGCAAAGCAAACTGCGGATCTGAGTGTGGAGGGGTGAGTTCTCTACAGTCTGGATGAGTTCTTTCAGCAGTTTGGAAACCAAGGAAACTCCAGGCCTCATAGACTCCACTGGTGAGGGAGTAGCTTCGTCATCTGCTGAACCAGAGCTCTGAAAAGGATTCCAGCTTGCATTTTGAGGCTATTCCTATAGCCGCAGACTTCTAATGCAAAGCAGAGAGCAGCTGCTTTATGTAAATTGCTCCCATAAGGAGTATTAATGACTGCCAGGGCCCTGGCCAAGCAGAGGCTCAGATGATGGTCAGGGAGGTTTGCTTGTCTCACTGTGTCCCTCAAGTTACTGGCTCCCATGACCCCATCCTATTCTCACTTTGTCTCTTTAAGGATTGTGTGTTTGTGTGTCTGTGTCTGTGTGTGTGTGTTATGTGTATATATGCGCTTTTAGCCACAGAGGCCAAAAGAGGGCATTGGATCCCTTATAATGAGAATTTTGGGAGGGTGTGTGCTTCCTCCCCTTAATGTGGGTGCTGGAAGCTAAATTTGAGTCTCCTGAAAGGGCAGCTAGTGATCTCAAGTGCCAAGCCCTCTTTTCTACCCTCCTCTCACTTTATTCTCAGACTGCTTCCCCCTCTGTCTCCAATGACCTTTTTTAAACTTCCTTTATTTGTATGTGTGCATGCATGTGGAGGTCACGTGTGTGTGCTGGTACTCGTGTGTATGTGCATGCATGTGAAGGTGCACGTGTGTGTGCTGGTACTTGTGTGTATGCGCATGCTTGTCTGTAGGCCAAAGGACAGCCTCGGGTGGTATGTTTGGACTCTTTGATCCTTCATTCATTCTTTTTTTTTTGAGTCAGGACCTCTCTTTGATCTGGGACTCTGGGAGCAGGCCAGGCTGGCTGGCCAGCAAGTCCCGGGGATTCCCTTGTGTCTACCTTGATAGGACTAGGAGTAACATCACCCACTACCATACCTAACTTTTTTATTTTGGTTCTAGGGAACTAATTTGTGTCCTCATGGTTACATGACAAGAACTATCTGGAAATTATACCTACCCATCTAAAAAATAATTGGTGGGCATGCTTCTAATTAGGGCAGTCTTTGATCTACAAAGGCAATCTCTCCCCTGAAACAAAAGAAAAAAAAAACATATAAGATCCTTCAGGGACACTCAGGTAACCATCCAGCCATAATCCAAGTATACCTGTGGCAGTTTACAGCCTGTGATAACTCACAACACACACTTGGTTCTCAGGGTCCCAGCTAGCTCTGTGTGGACCCTCAAGACATTTTGACGTCATATTTTTATAGAATTTCTGCAGTTTGTGCCTGGGGTCAGGTGTTCGTTTAGTATTGACTTACATAATAAATCACAGGATTCTGAACAGGAACACATTGTTAAATTATATAATAATGTGTGAGTAATAGCTTTTTTGAGCCCACAACTATTTTTTAAATATCACTTGTTATAGAAACAGAAAAGCTTGTATAAAATTCACTAGCCCGTCTCAGCAGGGAAATCTGGCTCTTATAGATTCGGTTACTACCATATGTGGCCCCCTCTTTAAAGTGCTATACAGATATTAACTCACTTAATGCTAATAATTTACTTAAGGTTCTGATTTTTCTGTCTGTGTGTATATGCATGTGTACATGTTGGGTACATGTGTGTACAGATATTTGTGTGTGTGTGTGTGTGTGTGTACATATGGAGGCCACATGTCAACCTCAGTTATAATTTTCTTCATGCCATCCACCAAGTTCTTTCAGCACACAGCCTCTCACAGAACCCAGAACCCACCAGCTCAGCTTGACTGGTTGGCTGCAGCAAGCTCCGAGGATCTACCTGTCTCTGACTCACCTATGCTGGGATTCTAAGCCCATGCCTCTATGCCTGACATTGTTTAAAGTGGGTCCTGAGGATGACACTCAGGCCCTCCTGTTTACACACATTCTTTGCTGACTGAGCTATTCTCCAGCCCTGATTCTTCCCAGTTTTCAGTTAAGAAAACCAAGGTTCTGAGAATGCAAATATCTGACTCTAGACCACAGGCATTTTTTTTTCTGCTAATGGTTCTGTTATCCTGACCTTGTTGAGTCATCCTTCCATGCAGAGGGCTTATACCTGTTATTGGCATGGAGTTATTCCCATGAACACCCGCAATGCCTTCTACTGAAAATAAAAGAAAACTTAATGTTTTCCTGGAAGAGATGGAAAGGTACTGCCCCTAGCATATCAGAAGCATCCTTCAGTCCTCTGTGCTGCTCCCTAAGATCGCTCGTCCAATTTTGTTGAACAAAGAATGTAGCAATTTCAGGAAATGGGCCTCCCATGTTCTCATGTTCCCCTGCCATCTTTCAAGATTGGTGCAAACTTTTCTCTACTCACATATGGGTGTAACCTCCCATGGGAGACTTGGGGGGGGGGGGACCGTGGTTTATCTCATCAGCAGATCTGCAGCCTCTGGCTTTAGTGGTGGATTAAAGCACAGCATGAACAGTCTCTGGCTGGAAGAGAAGAGGTGGTGGGTAGGAGCTGAGCTGACCTTCTGAGTGTTAAGCAGCTCTGCTACTGTCAAGCTCTTGCAGGGCCCTGTTTTCTAGCTTCTCATCCCTGCTCTTAGTGTGACTCTCGGGACATCTTAGAAATACACACTATGGAAGGCCATTCTCTGTTCTGTCTAGAATACCCTGACTCTCTGGTGGGATTTCTTCTGACTTCCAAAGGAGCTTTGAATGGTGCAATTTCCTAAAATTAAAGAACAAAACTCCAAGAGGAAAAAAGCACTGTCAGCAAAGCACATCTGTCGGCAGCAGCTCCAGGCACTGGAGGGTTTGCTGAAGAAAATAAATAATTGGACTTCAAGACAAATAAATGTGTGTGCTGGAGATAGCAAGAGTAAATTTTATGAAAATGACTTAGATATAATCCAGTGTCCACAGCTTACAGAACAGCTCAGGTTCTGATGGAAGTTGCTGGTATATTGATCCTCTGAAATAGCCGTATTTGTTCCTAAAGTCATCCACCATTAGTCATTTTGAAAAGTCCCCAGCAGCGATGGATAGGTGGCTTGGTGACGATGCATGTATACTGCTCTTGCAGAAGGCCGCAGTCCAGTTCCCATCAGCCACATGGGACAGCTCACAACCACCAGCTCCAAGGACTCTAACCCCCTCTACTGGCCCTCGTGAGCACCTGTACTCTGTGCACACACCCACACAGAGGCACATACACACATACTTGTGATTTAAAACAAAATTATAATTTCTCAAGTAAGTCATACTCTCAATGTCCCAGTATGCTAGTTAGTTTCTTATGTAAACTCTAAAATGCCATTGGAGAAACACCACTAAGAAAACCAGGGATTTCTGTTTAACACCAGATAGTATAGAAAGAAGACTGGACGTTGAGCTAGATACAGTGATACAGCATTTAAATTAAAAATGGCAACCCAAGTTCATATTTCACTCTAGCAACTCTGGAGTGGAAACAAATTTGACAGGGTTGTGGAAAGTTACAGGAAAAAAAAAAAAGCTGAGTCCAAATGTTTGCTCCAAATCTCTGTCTCTGAGACCTGTTACAGAGCAGGCTTGCTGGACATCAGAGTCCCACAGCAAAAGGAAAGAGTCATAGTGTTTCTCGCAGTGGTCTGAGATGATGCCATTGAAGGAGCATAGCAGTGGTTGGTATACAGCAGGTGCTCATGGTGGTCTGAAGATGCAGTTGAAGCAGCTTGCCAGTGGTTGGCATTCAGCAGGCGCTTAATGCACTTTAGTTTACTCCTTTGCTTTTCTGCTTCTTGTTGCCAGTTCTGTGAGAATACACAAACGTGGGGAACACCATCTTTCATTTTCCATATACTTTTTGGAAATAAGTCTGGCATTCAGGTAGGTGGAAGGGCAAGAAGTTGAGCTGCTAACATCAGTAGAAGAGGGATGTAACCACAGGGATGGAGCTGCTGATGCCCAGTTATGCAGGTAGATATATACACATTTGTATATATCTATACAACTTCAGACCCCAGTCCTAGACAGTCACAGAACTATCAGATGTTTGAGTGGCACACTGAATTGGTTCCTCTCCTAGCTCCTTCCTCTTCTGTGCCTGGACTCCTTACAGTGAGGCTGTTCTGCCCATTCCCGGTGCAGCTTGAACACTTACTTGACTTGTGTCCTTGGCCATTCTGTTTCTTCCACCTGGAAGACAGTTACTCCCCGAGAACTTTAGGTAAAGCCATGTGTCATCCTAGGACTAGTTAAGTCAAAAACAACAACAAAAACAAAAGCAAATGATTTTCCTGTGTATACCTTTCCCCATCTCTCCAGATAGACCTATGAACCTCTAAAATAGCCACCCTGTTCCCACTTCTCAAATGTATTTTTTGACCCCTCACTCTGGCTGAATTTTTTACTTTTAAAGACATATTCTTACATTCCATTTCTTTATTTCACCAAGCTGCTTAGCACAGGATCTCACAGAATCAATGTTTGCCGCATAGTTAGCATTGTACAAACTGTGTTTATATGTGAATATTTATCACCCACTTACACAAATTAAATCTACTGAGGGGCCTTTCCTTTGTTTATTTGAGATCCGTTTGGTTGAATCATCTCTGATATCTATTTTTTCTTTTGCCTAGCAATCATCACAGAACTGGGATAAAAGAGTGAGTATCGATTCCTCGCTCCCAAGTGGCTTTGCCAGCCCTGCAGATGAACTACCTCCAACCCGCATCAAAGAAAGTCACATTTTGGAAGGGCTGAGGAAGCTACAGAAGCGGAAAGTGTTACTTGAACCACCGTCGGTGATAACCAAATGGGGCTATAAAGATTGCATGAACTCGAATGAAGGAATCTATTCTCCAGGAATAAAAAATAGCAGCCTCAAGGAGTATCCCTCCTGCCAACCACCTGGCCCAGGGATCCCCTGCAAGGGTCCCCATCATTCCTTTATCTACGAGGCAGATTCCCGTGAGAATGTAGATGAAGACTCCCCACCCTCAGCTCTGCTGCAGGCGGCTCCCAGCCAGGGCTGCAGGATCCAGGGCAGTAAATTAACCCACAGTGTTTCAGACAGTCTATTTAGCTGGGAGCCACACGGAAAATACTTTTCAGAAGGTCCAGCTTTAGTTCATATGAGAGAAATGCCTGAAAGACTAGTTCGTTGTGCTAGCCACTGTCCCTTGGAAAGAAAGTTATGCTGCCCCGGCATCCACCTGCCCTGGGTGCAAAGGGACAGGGACCCACACAGGGACCACGTGGCCCTGAACCTTCATCTTTCAGACACAGATGACAATGAAACCCTAAATGAGCTGCACATAGAGAGCAGCGATGAGAGAAGTCCCTCAGACCTGTCGTTGACGGAGGACACAGACAAGTCCATGGAGAACCTAGATGGGGGCTCTGGAAAGTCTGAATGGGGCTCTCAGGATGTGGAGGAAGACTGTCTCACCCGCTCAGAGACAAGGCCAAAGACGTTCAGTTTCATCAGGCAGCAAAGGGTTGTCAAGAGGACCTCTTCAGAAGAATGCGTCACAGTCGTATTTGATGCAGAAAATGGAGAGCCCGTTGAATTCAGCTCCCATCAGACTGGGGTTGTCACTGTGTCCAGGGATGAAATTTCCATCAACTCAGCCCCTGCCGGACCCTCAGAACTCACTCAACTTTTACCTCAGGGAACTTCTCCTTTACAGCCGGGAGCTACCGCAAGAGACTATCCTTTTTGGAAGAGACCTGAAGAAGAGACTGAGAAAAACATTCCAAAAGATGAGAACGGTATTCCCACGTCTCTGACTGACTCCTTTGACTCTCAGACTACAGTAACTCAGAGTTCCCCACGACCAAAGCCCGCCAAACCAACACAAGGTGTAGCCTGGCAGAGTAATTCTAGACCGGGGGCAAACATGGGTGTCTATGCAAAGCCAGGTCTGACAAAAATTCCTTCCAGAGGCAAGTCTTCACCTCAGAAATCAAAGCTGGTCGATCCTGTGCCAGCCACACTGGTCCCTTCCAGTGACTCAGTGACTCATGAGGAGACACCAGCATCCCCTCCAGGGAAACTTCCGCATTCTTTCTGTGATGGACAGCCAGAATCACACATTCCGAATCACCCCACCCAGCTTCCTCATATCCCCAACATTTCCAACAAGAAAAATTGGATTCAGTGTCCCAAGAGTCAAGTTCCAGGGATCCTGTCACAGCGTCTCATGGGGAGCGACAACTGTGACGGATCCCCCACGAAGGCCAAACGCTGTGACTCTGGGCCAGAGTCAAGAGTGAGGTCTGCCTCCCCTCCACCCACTCCAGGGAGGTCAGTCTCCCTCCTGGTCAGAACCAGTTATGACTATTCACCGCAGCCATCACCTGCCAAACCCGAAACTAGGGTCCCTAGGGACACTGTAGGTGCAGGGTTGAAATCCCCACCGTTGAAAGGATCCTCTGTCCCTGTCATCTCTCCCAGTCCAGCTGTGACAGAACCGCAGAAGAAGAAACTTTCTGTGGTCTCCAAAAAGCCCGCTTTCCCTCCCACTGTTCCCTCTACGGATACAGTGGTACACGCTCGACACCCTGAGCACACAGCCTCCAACTCATTTGCTGCGATGGCTACAGCACCTCCAAAGGTCTCTCCAAAGAGAGGCATCCCCAAACCTCCCCCTCACCAAGCACTTGGAACCACACACATGGACACAGAGTTACAAATACCCAAGACTTGTCCTTCAACTTATGAACTGCTAGAGGTAGCATCCTCGAAAAACCTGTCTCCAGGGAGAAAAGGACAGCTGAGTGACAGCTCTATGATACCCCACAGGCCTTCCTTCTCAGGGGCGAATGAGTCCTTGACATCTCAGGTTAACAGTCCCTCCCCATCTTCCTCTTCCTCCAGAAGCCAGAGCACGTCACAAAGCCGTCAAAACCCTCCCGAGAAAGGACCGAAAACTCGCCTCCCTATCGGACTCAAAGTTCTCATGAAGTCTCCTCAGTTGCTCAGGAAAACGTCCATGGTGCCAGGGAAACAAGAAAAGGATAGTTTAAATGAAGCTTCTAGAAGTTCTGTGACTTTGAGCAAGTCTAACCCAGAGGACTCCAGAGATGCAGTGAGCCCGGAGACCTCAGAAGATAAGAGAACAGCAGCCTTGCTAGGTCCACCATGTCTGGACAGTTTAGCTAAGGGGCTTCCCTTAGAGTCAGCATTACTGGGGTCAGTGGAAAGCAGCATCTCCAGAGCTGATGGAAGAGAGGGGGTGGAGAACAGATCGGTGAAAAGATCCTTCTCATCCAGCAAGCCACACCTAAAGCCAGCTCTAGGCATGAATGGAGCCAAAGCTCGGAGCCAGAGCTTCAGCATTCACTTGGGAGAGAAGCCCTCCATGGCATCAACAGAAGGGCCAGGCAAGATTCGAACTCAGATCATTACCAACACAGCTGAGAGAGGCAATTCGCTCACCAGGCAGAACCTCTCCACGGAAGGGTCCCCAGGCAAGACCCCTTGTGTCTCAACATCTGATAATCTAACCAATGGAGGGAGGCCGCTGGAACAGTCCTTCTCCAGACAGGGTTCCCTCTGTAGTACAGGGAGTTCTAGCAGCCAGCGTGGAAGCCCAAGCAAGTTCCCTTTGAGGATGCTCACAAGGCCAGAGGAGCTCCCCACCCCTGGAGTGGATGACCAACAGATCTATAGCCAGGAAGAATGTCCTGGGGTGGAGGTGGTATGTGAGCAATCTAGCAGTGACCACCACAGGCATCCATCCACCCCATCAGACTGCCCTCAGTCCCCGCAAATCCCAGGGAGGATGCAGCGTCCACACAATTTAGAAACAAGTGGGATATCCAAGCTAGAAACCTCTGGACGGCATCCAGATGTTTCTCCAGCCGGGACTGGTATCGTGAGCCCAGAAGCCCCCCTCTCACCCTCCATTGAAGAAAAGGTCATGTTGTGCATTCAGGAGAACGTGGAAAAGGGCCAAGCACAGACAAAGTCAGCCTCTGTGGAAGCGAAGCCCAAGGCAGGGCCTTCGTTCACCAGCTGGTTTGGCTTTCGGAAGAGCAGACTTCCAGCTCTCAGTAGCCGGAGAACGGAGGTCTCCAAAAGTAAAGTGGAAAAGAAAGACACAAAACTAAAATCGGAGAGGAAAAAAGAAAAGAAGAAAACCGAAGTGCAATCCAAGGCAGAAAGTGAACTGAGTAGGGGCACCAAGGCGGGCGCCACAGCAGCGGCTGGTCAGAGTTCAGAGGATGGTTTGCCAAGCACACAGAATCTCAAAGCGTCCCAAGACATTTATAACGAAATGAAGTTGGAGCCAAGAAATAGACCCAGCCCTGCTGTGTGCTCAACAAAAGACGCCTTCATGACAGAACTTCTAAACAGGTAACACACTGGAACTGAGGAGGGCAATGTTGAAGGGTCCCCCTGCACCTCCAACCCAAGGAGAGCTGTTTAGCCCTGAGCATTAAATACCAGCCAAGCATAGTCTCCACACACACAGATAGCATAATCTCTTATACATTAGCTATAATTTAAACAGTGAAATAAAAGTTAGTAATAAAATGATAATTTAGTTCATGTTTCTTTCTTAACCAAGCCAATGGTCTTTGAAATTAAAGAATGGTGAGTTACATCCAGGTTGATAGCGATTCAACCCACGCCAGGAACCGTGAATGTACCCACATTGCATGAAATGGAAGAAAATTACACACACGTTTGAAAGCATGCCGGTTTCATTGATCGCATTGAGCAAATGTATACTTAGAACTTTCCAGAAGTAATTACTTTTCCTGCCGATCTTAAGCCTGAAATGTATTTAGCAATCACCCTTTGGCGTTGTAGATTCTGTCCCTCCCCAAAAGCAATTATAAAAATAAAATAGAGGCTATGGGGAGATGTCTCCGTCAGTAGTGTGCATGACTTGCAAGCATGGAGACCTGAACTCCATCTTCAGAATCCACATAGACAAAAGCCAAGCGTAGTGACACCTGCTTGTAATCCCATTGCAGAAGACACAGAAAGAGACAGACCTTGGACTTCTCTAGCCAGCCAGCCTAGCTTGCCTGGATGTTTCAGGCCAATGAAAGATTCTGCGTCATAAACTCAAGGTGGACCTCACCTAAGGAATAACACACAAGAAGTTATCCTCTAACTTGTGTGTGTGCGTGTAATGTGTAACACCAGTGCACATAAACCTGTGTGTATAGTGCACACTCACAATAAAGTGTAATAAAATAAGTTATTACCCTCGCAAATATAAATTGACGCACTAGTGAAATATTTGAAGCTATTTTTGCTCAAGGCTAGAGAGCAGCACTTCCCACTGAAAGGTTTCAAGACAAAGAGTCATGCTGAGGTTACCTTAAACATTAAAGGGCTGGGGAGAAGAGCGTGATTGAAAACGGCCGATGTAATTTATCAGAGGAATCACTTTCTACCTGCAGAGTTGATAAGAAAGGAGCGCTGCAGACAGAAACTGGATCAAAGGGTGTTTCCTGCAGGAGCCTGTTAGAGGGCACCTCCCAGGGCTCCTGTTTCGCCAGCGGCTCCGTCAGCACTCGAGGAAGTCAAAAGAAAAACATCAAAACCAAAGTCGATATGGAAAAACCAAGAGAATCCCTGGTAAGTGTTTCTCCGTGCTGGCTAGAAAAATGCCTGGTTCTGAGATGTTCTGGTACAGGGGGAAGGGAGGGGAATAGAAATCTGAGAAAAGACTGTTTTTTAATCTCTCTCTCCCTTCACCCTTTCTCTCTCCTCCAACCTCCCTCTCTCTCCCCCCTCTTTTCCTCTGTCTCTCTGTGTGCATTTGTATGTGAGCATGGATGCCCAGGTGCTAACATGTGTGAAGATCAGAGGGCAACCTGTAATGTCCGTCCTCCCCTTCCTCCTTGAGACGGGGTCTCATGCTCACGGTTGCATACTGCAAGCTAACTAGCCCACAAGGTCTCCTGGCTCTCCTGTCTCCACACCCCGCCTCCATCTGGCTGAAATTACAGACATCTACTCCTATCCCCACCTTTGCATGGGTGCTGAGCATCCAAACTCAGGCCCAGGCCTTCACACTTAACCCGGCACACATTTTAGCCACCGAACTAAAGACAGAAATCCCCATGTCCACTGCTAGAGGTGGCAGCCAACCCTCGTGTGGGTGTGGTTCCATCTGGGAACACCGTCCTCTTCCGGTCTGTCTTCAGACAATCCTGTAATCTTAGTACTTGCCAGCAAGAGATGCTGGCTGTGCCACCGTAGGACAATGCTCAATGCTAGAGATTTGTTTCCATGACCCCAGCATTCATGGCAACAAAGGAGGAAGAGGATTGGAGATGTGAACGTGCCAAATAACTTAAGAAAGTATTGGGCTCTTTTGATGTTTCAAGTGCTATTTACTTTTTATGGAAGTTTTTGTGCACACTTAGGTAATTCTAAAAAGAAAGAGAGTAATGAGCTATATAAAACGGTGGTGCTTTTAAAGAAATATTTCCCTAAGATAGGCCAGTTTCATATGCTATTCTTTACGTTTCTCTACGTTGTACTTACTCTCCTTACAGTTCCTTATGTGCCATGCAATTGATCCCGTGAGTTTTCATCGTTCCAGTGGATATGTTTTATAATACTTAAAATGGCAACATATTCCCAACATAAAATGCTTTAATCTGGGACTGAAGAGCTAGCTTTTGCCATGCAAGCATGCTGACCTGAATTGGATCCCTAGCACGCATGTAAAAAGCCAGACCTGGCGGCATGCTGTTATAACCCCAGGACCGGGCAGGGAGACACAGGAGTCTCTCTGGAGCTCCCTGGTCACCAAATGTGTCTCATTCAGTGAGCTTCGGGTGCAGTGAGAGATCTTGTCTCAAAAAAAGTAGATAGTGACTAAGAAAGACATCCAACATTAATATTTGTCCTATGTGCATATGACACCATATGTACCAGTGCATACACCCTCACGAACTTGTGCACACACACCCCCAACACCACACACACACACACACACACACTCACACACTCGACATATGCTGGAAAATAACTGAGAAAGACACACAGCATTGGGCTATGGCTGCACACATGTATGTACACCCCCTACATATGCACAGGTACAGCCATTTTGATTGGTGTTCATACGCTGATGAAGCTTCACTGTTCTTGGGTTTGGGTTTCACAAGCACATCTGAGACGAACACACACTGAAAATGTTTTTCCTCAGAAGCCTTTTCTCCAGAAAGCTCTAAGGCCTTTCCTTCACGCTAACTTTGTTCATTTTCCACCCATTTTAGCTCTCGGCTCACATGACATCCTACCTCCTTTGAAAACTCTGATGTCCCTTGCATTATAAAACCACAAATTATAAGTGTATCTGAAGCTGCCCTTGTAGTGTCACTGAAAGGAAAGGGAGAGACGCGGCGTGGAGAAGCGTGCAATATGCTGGAAATTCAATCCTGCTGATGGAAGGCTCCGATAGCCTGGCAGAACCCCTTATCACAGGCACTCCATTTAACTACGCCCCATTTAATATGTCTCTGACAGCTTAGGCTCTATCTTCACTGTACAGAAGGACCAAAAAAACAAAACAAAAAAAGCCTGTCTTGAGCTTTTATAATTTCATTTTTGTTTTCATATTACTTCCTAATGCTAAAGTAATTTAACATGCTTTCCTTCCTCATCTGAAGTCATTCTCAGGGTGAAAGTAGGAACCTCTGCCCTTCCCGTATATCTGCAGGAAACACTCTTCATGCTGTCTGTGAAGTACACAGATTACCTAACCAACCCAAGTATACAGAATCAAATGGGATATGCTAATTTTCCTCCTTAGCCAAGAGAGGAAATTAGTCATACGAGAAGGCTTTCGATAAAAAGGAGTATTATTAACCTGGACAGGTGACCAGCTGTGTCTGTGTGTGTGTTCAGATGCGGGGCCCCAGTTTTCATCTTGACTGAGACAGGGTCTCTTGTTTGCTGTTGAATAGTCTAGACTAGCGAGCCTGTCTGCTAGTGGGAATTCCCCTGTCTCTGCCTCCTATAATTATTACAGGCACACTGGGTTTGCAGATTCAGCCTACTGTGTCTATGTGTTTGTGGCTTCTGAGAATCCAAACTCTGGTTCTCATGCTTGTGGAGCGGGCCCGTTTACCCATGAGTCATCTCCCCAGTTCATTCTTTAGAAATAGAAAGTATAATGCTAGTATTCGTTCCTTCTGTTTGCTTGCGAGTTGGGCTAAAATTACTAAGTTCAAAAAAGACCATGCTGTGGTCTCCTTTGAGATAGTAAGAAGTAGCAAAGGAAGCATATTTATTATGCATTATCATCCCATGTAGATTAGATGCAAACTGAAACATATTCTTAGACCATTGCTCATTACTGTGAATATCCTTGAACGTTTTAAAATTTAGAGTTTAAGGGAATTCTTCTTCTCCGGGGCTCAAAGTAAATTTGTCTTTTGCTAAAGTGTGTTGCAAAGAAATATTCTCAAAGTAGCTGTTTCGTTGGAAACAATAGTGACAGATAACACCATAGATGTCACAGCATTGCTGTGAATCCAAACGCTGCTTCATTGTCAAGGAAACTCTTAGTCAAGCGTTTTTCTCTTATTGCCAGCCATGGCATTGAATCTGGGGCCTCGCACACGGCAGGCAAGTAACCTACTCCTGAGCCATGGCCTCAGCCTTAAAAGCCCGGCTCTAAAACCTGCCATCACAATGCACCATGTGTCTTCACTCCTCCAACAGTGAAATGACATTATTCATGAGAGTTCCCACGACATTTTAACCATTTCCGTGCTTAGTGATTGTCTTCATTTCCTTTCGACCACTGTAATCAAACACCCTGGCCAGAAGCAACCTAAGGGAGAAGGGGCTGATTGTAGCTCACAATTCCAAGTTACCATCCACTGTTTTGGAGGGATGTCAAGGCAAGAACTTCAGGCAGCTAGTCATATCACATCCATGATCAAGAGCAGAGATAAATTAATGCACACAAGCTCACTTGGTTGCCTGCTTGTGCTCAGCTCAGTCCCTCCACTCTCACACAGTCCCATACCCCCTGCCTTAGGAATGGCACTACCCACAGTGTGCAGGGTCTTCCTCCATCAATTATCCTTGTTAAGACAGTGCCCCAACAACATGCCCACAGGCCAGCCCAGTGTTAACAATCCCACACTGAGACTCTCTCTTCTAGGTTGTGTCAAGCTGGCAATAGAAACAATCGCTGGGGATGATAAAAGGAGATTATTTCTGTGTATTTTTTTATATATTTAACATATCCCTTTATTTCACAAACCACTTAGCTCACGAGTAACTGCATATTCCTTTTTAGTATAGTTAAGATAAAATGTGTAAAAGTACCAGCAATGCTTCTCCAAAAGAAGTCCTTTTCGCTTTGTAGAGCTTTAATTAAAGGCTTATGTCCCCACGTCTGCCATCGTTTGTAGTCCGCTTAGCTCTAATTTTTTATGTAATTTAGACCAGGGGCCATGTTACTTGGTACTTAAGCTGATTTTATGTATTTAAATGAAGCGGGGGAGATCTCCCCTAGAAAGACTAGCCTGGGTGTGCTCTGATTGCCGTCAATTGCAAATGCTTCCTTCCTGTGTGTTGAAATCGTTTTTCTGAATAGCGGTATTAAAGAAAGAGAGTGCCAGGCTCTTATTTAACACCTCCAGACAAAAATAAAAATCATTAACAAAGTTGAGGGGATCACACACCTTCACTGGGCATGGGAGAGAGATGGCCATTTTAATGCCCATGTGTTAATTTATATGATGGGATTTTTCTTTCCCCAAGTGTCATCTCTTCTGAAGAAAATCACATCTGCTAATAAAATATCATCAAATACCATCCCATTAAGATGGGACCGCAGAGATGAAATAGCAGAAAATAGTACCATAATTACACAAATGGTTATCATCTTATTAAGTCCTGCAAAATGTAATAATTTCAGCATCCTTAATTGAATGATTCCATTCTAAATGCTGTTTTGATGCAAATAAGCAGCCTGTACATTTGCCTTCCACTTGCTAACTTTTCTAAGGAGTGAGCTACCCGAAAATATCTGCTCACTCGTTTTCCTTTCCAAAATCGTGGGCTTTGGGGATGTCTCTATCACCTCCTCTCTCCCCACCCCCATCTGTACTATGGTGCATGTGGAGGCCACACCACAAACCTGGGAGTCAGTCTACATGTTCTCCCTTGGTTCAGGCAGGGTGTTTTCTTTGTTGTTCATATCCCAGGAGCTTCTGGGGATTCTCCTGTCTCCCCAAAACCATCTCCCCACAAGAATACTAGAAGTACAGACCCCCACAGGAACATGTCTGGTTTTTATGTGGATTCCAGAGATTTGAACCCAGGCCGTCACACTTTTGTGGCAAGCGATTTTGCTTGCTGAACTGTTCTTAGCCCTCAAGTGAGTTGTGGTATAAAAATGTTGTTTACTTCAGAAGCCCTTAAGGTTAGAGTCATTCAGAGAAGAAAGATGGACAGAATTCCAAATGAGGAGTTTCCCAAATACATAGTTTAATTGTGAAATCACATGTGTCTATCAGTCAAGGGTGGGTTGTCGTATTGCTTTCGCCTCTTGTGACTTTTGCAAACTCATTTCCTCCTGCCCTCGTGGAAGTTGAGTTAGTCATGATGGAGACAGTAACATTTACTGCTTTCATCCTGCAAGCTCATTTCTAAAGCAGCTCTTGAGCCCCACGATGGACATGAGTTAAAGATTCAGCTTTAGAAGACAAAGATGCCAACACTTGGGGCTAGAAGGTTATCTCAGTCAGTAACTTACTCAAAGACCTGAGTTCAATTCCTAGAACCCACAAAAAGTGCCAGGCATGGAAGCATGATCTTGTAATCTTAGCACTGAGAAGGTAGCACTAGCAGGCCAACCAGCCTAGCCTAATCAAGGAGCTCCAGGCCAGTGAGAGACCCTGTCTTAAAAAGAAGAAGGTGGACAGTACCCAAGGAAGGGCACCTGGACTCTTGAGGTTGACCCTGGCCTCCACATACTCACCACATTTGTGCTTCCACATATGAGTGCACACGTGCGTGTATGTGTGCGCACGCACACACACACACACACACACACACACACACACACACACAGAAGAAACCCATATTTAAAGCACAGTTGTTGGTCAAAAGCCACCCTGCACTATCTTTGGCAAATTTCCCATCTTAACCTAGAGTTTTCTCACCTCCCAGGGATGTTCCCACATCCCACCTGCTGCGTGATCAGGAATGGAAATTAATTTAAACTGAAGCCTATGAAAATATAATTAGGAAAAGACTCTGATGCCAAAATAAAGTGTGCCCCTGACTTGCATAGGCAAAGAGTTTTAAGAAATACATCCTCAGTGTGCATTAGAATCTCTGTGTGTAGATAAGTAGAGCTGAGAATGAGCCCTTCTCAGATGCTGGCCCTTCCTCAGTTTGTGCTTTTACAAGGACTCCTTTCAAACCCACAGCCCTATTCTCACCCCTTGGCTCTTCTCCCCTCTATAGATCAATAAGCCTAGGAATTGAAGGACCTTTGGGCCTAATCACAGGGCCAGGGCCTTGGGTGCGGCTAGAGCCACATGTAGCACAGTCATGAAGCATCAGTAATTGTTTTTATCCCATTAAGTGTGAACAACTAGGAGGTAAAAAGTTGGAAGTTAAATCTAGCCCCCAGGTCAGCATGCAGACAGATGACACCATTTGGTATAAAGCGGTGGTGGCCTCACAGTCACCCTGAGCCCCTGAGCTTCTGAAAGAATCACACAGTTCACGCTGCTGTGGTCGGCTGCCCAAGGGACCAGATGTAATATATTCTGCAGAAGCTTTTGTGAAGGTTGACCTAAACTGTCTTGATATTGAGACCATGTCCACACAGATGTAATGGAATAGAAATCTAAGAATCATGGTTCCCTGTAAATGAATGCCAGCCTCTAGTCAGGCTTTCTCTGTTCAAATCTCTATCCTCCATTTGGATGATGATGTATCATCCCTACTGCCTCAGGGTGCATCTTTATGGTGGGTGGCTGCACCATTCCCTAGCATTAGGTCAAGCACATCAGGCTTGTGTGTAACATCTTTGCAGAGTGGCTGGCACCGGTAGTGTAGGTGTTGGCTGGCTTTGTTTATTTGTCTGTTGTGGGGAGGAGGACTGCATGCATCTGTGTGTGAGCATACTCCAAAGGCTGGCGATCAACCTTAGTTTTCTCTCCTCATCAGCATTCACATTAGATTGTTTTTGAGACAGGCTCTCTCACTGGCAAAGGGTGACTGCGCACATGATCCCACAGGGATCTGCATGTTTCCACTTTCCCAGTGCTGGAATTACAAGAATTAAAAGCCCATAATACCACCCATGACTTTTTTACATGAGGACTTAGGGGCAAACTCAAGCCATGTTGCCTGTGTGGCAAGCACTTTACTGAGTAGTTCAGCTCCCCAGCCCAGTCAGCCCTTTTATGATCTGTGTCGTTGATGTCCCACTAGTAGATTAGAAATGCAGTGTTTAAGTGTTCCTCCCAGTGGTACCTCTCCACATGCATGGGGCAAGTTCAGAGAAACTTTCTATCCCTCAGAATCCCATCTATAAGACACCAAGACTTCATGACATTCTCTCTGATGTTCCTTTTAAAGCTTCACCAGGCAAAGCTACAGTATTCCAGCTTAAAGGGGGAAAGCCGAGACAGGATTGTAGTGATATTTCATTTGTATTTTATTTAATAAATAAATTTTGCCTTAAGGTCAGAGAATACTGATCAGCCTTACAGAACAGGCAGTGGTGGCATACACCTTAAATCTCAGAAGTCACACTGGTTTGCCAGAGAAACCGAGTGCTGGTGGTGTACATCTCTAATCCCAGCACTAAAGAGGAATATAAGCCAGGAGGATACAGCTCTGAGACACAGTATCATTCTGAGGATTGTTAAAGGCAGGCTCGCCATTTCAGACTCAGGTAGAGTTAAGAGCCTGTGGTTGACTGTTTTGCTTTTCTGACCTTCAGATTGAACCTCAATTTCTGTCTCTGGATTTTCGTCCATCGTGCTACACAAGATCACCTGCAACTCAGGCTGAGCTCAAAATAATTATATAGCTAAGGATGACCTTGAGCGTTTATTGTCTTGCCTTCACCTTGTGAGGGCTAGGATTTTAGGAGTGTGCCATCATCCCAGGCTTGTGTGGAGCTAGAGTTGAACCCAGGGCTTGCTAGGCAGGACTTCCACCAACTGAGCAGCATGCCCAGACAGGAAGAAATGTTTTTAACATGAGACTTAGAAATGTGTCTTGGTAATGTAGTTCCCTGAGCATACATCTCCGTTCTCCTCTTTCCATTCCGGGAAGAATGGAAGAAAAGGACACTTTCTTAGAGAGTTATTTCTTTCAGTCTAGGAAAGGGTCATGAGACCTAAATATGATTCAAGCATAGTCCCATGTTCTTATTAAAATAACTTATGGCAAAAGTCTGTGACTCCGAAGGAGTTATAGCTCCTTAGACTTTAATGTTTCCTAATACCCTGGTGTGAATGGCTCCATTATAAAGTTTTAAAACCAAAGCAGTTAATCTTGAAATCATGCCTAGAATCAGGCACCCTGTAAGTAGTCCTGTCGTTCAAAGCTGGGGTTGTAGTTCTGGAAATGGGCTCTCTTAATTAAAACCTGTAATGAAGTCAGATGATGAAGACAAAGTAGAATAAAGTAAACACACACATTTATATTCCCACATAATTGTATACATTCAGTTACACCAATGTGCTTATTACAGAACGGGTCATTATTGTGAGGACTGCAAAACATCTTTGGAGAGTAACGAATAAGAACTTCTAGTGTCTTCTTGCTGCAGGGGGCAGAAGTCCATGAAGATTTACGAGAGGATGAAGAAGACAGAGTTGCTGACTCCATGCTTCAGAGCCACGCGATAGGTAAGCATCCATGTGTTGCTTGATGGTCTTTCCCTTCGATATGTTCTCTTGGTGCATCACTTGAGTCTGTCTCTCACGCCTCCCTCTGTCACAGTGGTTTACAACCTTGGGGGCATAAAAGATGCTTTCACAGAGGTTGCCTAAGACTACCAAAAAACACGGGTATTTCCATTATGATTCTCAACAGTAGCAAAATTACGGTTATGAAGTAGCAATGAACATAATTTTGTGGTTGGGGTCACCATGACATGAGGAACTGTATTAAAGGGTTGCAGCCTTAGGAAGGCTGAGAAGCACTGCTCTATAGGATGAGAGGTGTACATTTCCCTCAGAAAGGTCAGGTATTAAGTTAGTCATGTTCTCACGCTGTGACAAGACACCTGACAAAAGCCACTTCAGGGAGGAAGGTTTTGTTTGGGGTCACAGTTGAGGGCACAATCCATCATGGTGGGGAAGACATGGTGGTAGGAGCATGGTAGGAGCTGGTCACGTGGCATCCACAGTCAGGAAGCAGAGAGATGGATGCTGGTGTTCAGCCCACTTTCTCCATTTTATTCAGTCTGGGACCCCACCATGGGATGGTGCTGCCCCTTTTAAGGGTCTTCTCACCTCACCCTAACGTAGATAATCTCTCATACAGAGGTTAGGCTGATCTGGGTAGTCCCTCTCAGGCAGGCTCAGAAGCTTGTCTCTTTGGTGACCCTAGAAACTGTCAAGTTGGTAGTATTAATTGTCACACATGCTATGGTGGGCTTGGGCTAGCTCAATTGATGGAGTCCTTGCTTGGCATTCACAAGGTCCAAGGTTTGATCCCCAGTACCACAAAAGGAAAGCAAAGCAAAAACAGTGAAGCTCAGGGTCCCAGAACCACACCTGTGAGGAAAACATGGTTGTTTGTAAAGGTGTAGAGTGTGAACTGTGGAGGAGTATGTGCTTCTGTTATATAAATGGAAGTGACAGTGGGGACAAATGACTTTTTTCTAAGGAGAGAATCAACTTATAGAATATTACCTTCTAGAGTGGTTTCAAAAAGCAACTCTTACAAGGGTCTACTGATTGAAAATATACGGTGGTTGCTTTCTGAAATGGAACATGTTTTAAACATTTGGATGTTTCCCATATAAAACTGTCTTAGTTTCTTACCTGCTGCTATGATAAAATATTCCGACAAAAGCAACTTATGAGGGAAAGGGTTCATTTATACAGTTCACAGTTCAGAGGCGCAGTCCATCCCTGTTGGGGTGTCACAGCAGCAGGGCCCAGAAGCAGTTGGTCGCATTACCTCCAAAGATGTGAGTGATTGTTGTATACCTGTTCCCCATCTCCATTTCTTCATTTATACAGTCTAGGGCCATCTGCCTGTGGAATTGCTGCGGGAGCACATTCTGCTCCAATAGCCTTCAGAGACCATGACCAAATGAGCTGGTATCTTAAAGGCTATTGGCTGAAGGAGCAGGATGTGCTCCCATAGCATGGAATGGCTTTTTCCACATCAATTTATCATTATACTCCCTCGCAGGCACAACCAGAGACAGTCTTCCCAGATGATTCTAGATTTTATAAAGTTGAAAATTAACACTAATCATTACAAGACCCAAATAAAAAAAGAAAATTCGAATGTCAAGACCTTCAACACAGTTTTTCATCATTTCTGTTGAAACCCTGAATATAGATAGACCTGAATTAATTTCAATTTGTTAGTTGGCTCTTTTTTGATAAATAAAAAGTTATAACTATTCAGAAAGCCTGATTTTGCTGTCGGAGGAAAAATAACAGGTAGCTCCCTAGTCCCAAGTCCCTGAGCGCTATAACCCTAAACCCAGCCCAGTTGTGTGTCTTAGAGTTGTGCATGACCCCAGACATGAAAGGAGACGCGTTCCCAAGGAAATGGGATTCACGTGCCCTGTCCAGCACCTGGGAGGAGACCATGATGGAGGAATTTCTGTGACTTTGATCTTTGTGAGGAGGCTGAGGAAGCAACTAGTTTCCAGTCACCAGACCACCTTGGACACTTGTGGCATTCACTGTTATTAGGAGATTCCAGAAGCTGTGAGCATAGGTGTGCTGGCTAGTCACCTCAGCATGGGGTGATGGGATGGATGGCCCCAGATCACACAGAGACGGAGCAGACAATACCAGTTTCTTAGTTTCTCTTACTGCTGAGATAAAACACTCCACAAAAGCCTCTTCAGGGGCAGGGGGTTTATTCTGGCTCATGGTTTGAAGATACATCCCATCATGGTGGCGAAGACATTCTAGCAGGAGCCTGAAGCAGCAGATGCCATTGTCTCCACCCCCAAATGGAGAGCAGTGAGTTTCTGCATGCTGGCACTCAGCTCCTTAACTCCTGTCTCCAGTTTCTGTCATCTGGAACTTCCTGCCTACAACTAAGTTACATCTTTCTACATCAACAAAATCAACTAATCCTCCATGAGCATGCTCAAAGCCTTGGACTCCCAGGTGATTCTAGATCCTGTCAGCACTGAATATTAAGTCCTAAGGCATGACTCCCTTAAAGGGTGGCCAGTGTCCAAGATTCTCTATGTCCACTGCTTTCCCTGGGATGCCCTGAACAGCCAGCTCCCAGCACCGCCAGCTCTGAATGCCCCATTTTTCCAGTCTCCCCAGCCGTCTTCAGCAAACTATAATTTACAGTGTGTCTCGGAGTGTTGTTGTACCCAGTCAGCTTAATGAGACCAGCACACAATTATTATTCTTTTCATTGGCAATTAGGAATACAAAAGTCTTCACAAACAGCTGAATGAGTGTAGTCTGAATTGGATTATTATTCCAAGACATCCTTTTATTATGGTTGTCAGTGTGAATGGATTTAATTGGTACCAGTTCGGCACAGTTAGCTAATATGCAAGTTAAATATGACTTAGCAGTCTTCAAGCATGGTAGTCTGCAAAGCCTTGCTGAATCTCCCTTTTCCCGGTAATGAAGTTCTTGTGCCTGTAAAAGAAATAAAAAAAAATAAATAAATACACAGCAGGCCAAAGATGCAGTTCTGTGGCAGAGCATGTGCCAGTGTGCTCAAAGCCTGAGGTTCAGGCCGCATCACTGCAAAATTTAAATTGAGTGAAGAAGGACCGGGAGTGCAGTTCAGTTGGGAAGTCTAGTAGACATCTCTAGCATCACATAAACCAAGCATGGTACTGTATTCAAGGTTATCCTTTGCTATGTAGTGACTTCAAGGTCAACCTGCATTATATAAGACGGAGTCTTAAAAGAACAACTTAAGAAAAGAAGCAAACCACAGGAGAAAGAAGCAGCCGTAACAACACAAACACAGATGTATGCACTCACATGTAATGTTAGAGGCTGGGTTTTTGCTGGAGAACTACAGTTAGTGTAAGTATTTTTAGTAGATTTACAGTTCCTCTTAGATCGCCACCGTTTTGTATGTTGGCATCTTCAGCTGTAATTAGAACAACATAAAATCCAGTCCCTCTGTCTTAGTAGCCAACCTTCCAGGGCTCTGTAGCTGCAGATTCTGCACAGATAGCCCCTTTCTTGGCATCTGCTGGATGACGATGCTTTAGAACATTGATGGGAGTCACCTAACTGTGCTTCTGACGAGTTGCCTGGGTCATCAGATCACCATAGACCCTTCTTCACAGTCAGCAGCTCTGCAGATAAAATGCTGTGGACTCAAGAAGACAGCAGCAGCAGCAGCAGCAGCAGATCCTAACCTAATCCCCCAAGTAATAAAGTCATCCGTTAGAGAATTCCTGTCTCAAACAGGAAGAGAGGCATATGGCACTTTAGTGATGTCAACAATACTGCCAACAATACCTTGTAGGCTTCCTGTTTTCAAACCTCTTACCTTGAGCTGAAAACTGAGTCCTGCCTCTCTAGGCATTTCCACTGAGACGAAAGTCTGAGGAAGGGTGTCACTTCCAGGTCCCCAGCAGGCTCTCTCAAATACAGTGTCGCTGAGAAATGGATCACACAGCTAACCCTAGTTGCAGAGGGTGCTGGAAAAGTGCACGCCTTCCTCCCAGCTTCTGTTGTTTGAAGTGGCAGAGAGACAAAGATTGATGCCAGTTCTGAGCTAGTTATCAGTAGGAACGTTTTAAAGGTTCTTCCCACCTGGGACAAGATGAGAGTCACTAATGTTTACTACTCTATCTGTATCCCATCAGAGGGACTGAGAATATTTATTTTCCACCCTGAAGATCCTAAGCACAGTATTATCATACATTTTGCAATATTTTATAGCCATAATATAATATTTTCAGTAACAGTGCCTGAACAAATCTAAGTATGTGTCTCTTCAAAAGAAAATATGTCAGCTAACACCTTTTCAAACAAAGAAGTTATAACTGGAAAGTTTGTGTGTTTCTGTGGCTCAGGTGATTGTGTTGTTTTGATCAGAGTGGCGAGAGTTAATTATAAAACAAAATATTCTTAACTAAACTGGATCCAGATCGATATGCAATAATTATAAATTAAGGGGCTGGAGCAACAGCCCAGTGACTAAGAGTACATACTGCTCTCATCGAGGACCTGAGTTCAATTCCCAGCACCCACATTGGACAGCTCAGATCTCCCTGTAATTCCAGCTGCAGGAAATCTGACTCCTTCCTGCTTTCCTGAGCACCACTCTTCTGTGAGGATACACTCACATAGACATGCATGCATATGCACAAATAAAGTGAAAATTCATGTAAAAAATTGTGAATGAAGTAAAATAATGGCACTAAATTTTATTTTTAAAAGATAATCCTTATAAATTATTTTTATAACACAGACTTCTGTGTTAATGAGCAGCAAGAAAATGGCTAGCCTACTTTACTAGCAGTACTAGCATAGATGATTTTCTTTTCTGCTTTTTAACTACCATGGACTGATCCTATACATTATCCTAATTGTCTACTAGTGTTAAACACTTTAAAAGAACTGAAATACTGTTCTCTCGTACTGAAATTATCATCCAGTGGGGATAGGTAGTTCAATTGATGAAGGTGCTTTGCAAGCATGCGGACCTGGATTTC